CAAGAGCTGGAATGCAAAAAATACAAATAACTACACAACGTAACAAAGATGCTAAAAGCTCTCTTGTTTATCAAGGGCATTTCCACATAGGTTATCTGTCACAAGTTCAATGCTGTTGAAGTCTCCCCACCCCCATGCACACATTGCTCCACAGGATCATGGTGTATTCATGCACCTCATAGGGTCTTCTCCAAGCTTTTTTCTTTCTTTTTTCATCCCCCAGGGGGAGGTTTTTATTGGGGTTTTTTTCAGACTACAAAACTACAACAGAAAATATAGGAAAGGGAACGAAATCTAGGGAATAAAGAAAAAAGACCCACAACTAACTAAAAACTCTTCTGTAGCTTGCTTCATTTCCAGCTTTTGCACCTTTTTCTTAACCTTTTTAGTAGTGATGTCCATTTCCTTCACCTTCTCTCCCATTTGCTCTGTTGCTTTTAAGGACTGAGTCAGTTGCAGCTGCTGCGCTGCGACACTCTGCCCAATTACTGACAGTTGTTGTTTAATGCCAGTGATTTCATCCAGCAGGGGGCGCAGGGAGTCAGCTAAGAGTTTTGAGAGCTCAGTGACCTCATCCATTCGAGGACTGGCCCCTAGTTTCGATTTCAACAGCTTCTCTTTCTCTGGTTTGTTCCCCACCATCTTTTTTGGATTTGTTTACTTTTCAAAGAAGTTGCTAAAGTTTCTGATATTCGCCCAAATGCTTTTCTGCACTCTGGTAAGTCTCTTAAAACAGTTTTAGTCACTTATTTTTCTGCTCCCCCCTCTTTCCTTCCGTGTTTCGTCTATGCGTTTGGGAGGGATCCCTCCCCCGCTCGCTTTCCCATCGCTCTTTAGGGGGGCAGCATCTTTTGATATCTTCATGCTTGCTTCAACCCGACTCACAGTTCGTTGTTGGCCATTCGGCCTCGCTCGCTATCATTTATTTCGCCCGATCTCCTACGCTTGTCCCAGTCAGCAGCACTCGTACCATGCGGTCACTCAGTGGCAGGACCTTCAGGGCGGAGGGGCGCCTAAATTCTCCGGCTTTTGGCCATCAAAGAGGTCGTCCCTCAAAAGTGTCAACATTCAGTGTTGCAATTAAGTCTGGCTATAGATCTGTGGCATCTATGTGACATCCATGTGTCAGGAGCTGACAGCTCAAAGAGGTCACCCCTCAAAAGTCACCTGGCTGGGAACCTTTTACCAAGGCTCCCGGGGGGGGGGGGTCATACTGTTCATTTTTTCCAATGGGCTCCATTTGCTTTAGACAATATGATCCTTGCAGTGTGTTTCCTGGCCCCTTCTCCTGGTGTCTGTAATTACCATCAGGTAGGGAGGCTGGAGGAAACTGACTCCCGTTGTCAGATTTGGTTGAGAAGACCACTAGTTTAGTGACTCCTGGGGGGGGGGGCAGCATCTTTACTTATTTGGGCTTCCTTTTGTGTGTGTGTCCTTCTGATAAGGATGAAGAGTCCATTGTAAAGGCCTGGTGTGGAAGCAGGCCCAAGGACTACAGCTAAATGCTGAACAGGTCACAACAGAAGAAAGGTGTCTCTGTTCTGTCTTGGGAAGTGGAGAAGCACCAAAGCGATGTGAGGGGAGGGAAATTCTATCCTGTGTCCCTTCTGGATGATGGAGAGCACCCACTTGTTGGTCATAGACTCTATCCAGATGTGGGGAAATTGCAGGAGTTGGTTCCTGTCCTGTTTGTTAGAAGGGAACTGCCTCTGTTGGAATCTGGACCTATAGCTAAAGGTGCATGAGCTCCTAAAAGCCTTTTGCTCCCATTTTTGTTTGTTATTTATAATCTGGATAAATCTGAAATAAACAGAGGGTCTTTATCTACAGCAGATGGTGAACTAAATTTATATGGGTTCCTGCCAAAGTTTACGGAGGTCCAGACCTCCCCAAGGATGTCCCAGTGAAAGAGTCAAGACTGGTGAATTCAAAGCAATCTGTCCTTTACTGAATAATATCAAAATCACAGTGACAGCAGCCCGTATCACTGCAGATGCATCTGTCGTAGGCCACTCTGATACCCGAAGCCTCAGGCAGGAAAGGCCTGCAGATGCATCTGTCGTAGGCCACTCTGATACCTGAAGCCTCAGGCAGGAAAGGCCTGCCATTCTTTCTAAAACCAGCAACGGGGCCTGAAAAGTACTGGGTTCACCACATGGAGGACTCGGACGACAACATGCGTTTGCACACATTTATTGTACTTAACATCAGACTAACTAACGGCCCGACAAGGCCAACTATATACATACCCACCTAGCACCCCCTAGTCCCATTGGAGGGTTTGAATTTCCCACCAAAGTGGCTATTGGTTGGTGCTGGGGGAACTAGGATCCTAGGTTCCTATTGTTCAGGGGAGCCAAGCTCCTGACTGTGCCGTGGACCCCTGGTGGCGGTCCACATACATAACAGGGCCCATCCTCAAGGCCTTTCCGTCTTTCATACCAACAAGGGAAGAGATTCCAAAAGGCCCGGTAGATCTCTGCCAGGCTTTTCCTGTGCTTTCAGAGGTTGGCTGTGGAATAGGGTTGCCATCCCCCAGTTCTCAACAGGGGTTCCCCACTTTTGTTTTTTTGATCCATTAACAACCAGCTGATTTTGAGGCAAACTCTATGGTTTTGAAGCAATAAACCATAGAGTTTTTGCCCCAAAATCAGAGCGTTGTGCGCAACATCTTGCCTACTCCGGAATGCCCCCCAAATCCCCCCACCGCAACGGCAAGGGGACCTGGCAACCCGACTGTGGAACAACCCAAAGCTTCAGGTCTGCCAGCACTGATGGCAACTTGTGCCCTATAGAGGTATCTGCTATTGGCCAGTATCCAATGCCTGGAACCTCAGGGAGGAGAGGCTTGTCTTAATGGTCTCTTTTTCTTTTTTAAGACCAGCAATGGGGTCTTTCTTCAAAGTTTTTCCATCTACCATACCAATAAGGTAAGAGTCCCCAAGAAAGCAGAGCTAGGCTCAGGCATCCTGCTGGAGCAGCAGGGTTTTCAAAGCTGGAGGGTATGCCTTGCTCTGAGCCAATAGTCTACACAAATTTTAGGGTTCCCAGTCCCCAGTAGGGCTTCCCCCATTTTGGGGGGCTTTGATCTGCCGACAGCCAGCTGGCTGGCAGGAGAAACCCTGCCCCCAAACAGGGACGTCATTGCGCGATGTCCCTGACACAATGACATCACTTCTGGATGACTTCCAGGTGATGTAATTGTGCTGGGGACGTCATGTGGAGACGTTCTAGTTTTTGGCCAAACTCTATGGTTCTGAAGGGAACAAACCATAGAGTTTTGCCCAAAAACCAGAGCGTCGCATGCAGTGTCTCACCCACCCCTGGAACATCCCCAAATCCCCCACCGCAATGGTGAGGGGACCTGGTAACCCTAAGACATTTGGCATAGCCCTGCCTGGAGTGAGAGGAGAACAATCTGGGTGACCTTGACCCAGCCATACAATCTCAGCCTAACCTACTTCAGAGAGTTGTTGTGCTAATAAAATAAACAAACGTTTTAATTTCCCTGATTTTTTCCCCTAAAACAACTTTTTAAAAATTCATGTGGCTTCAAAATTTCCAGAAATTTTACACTTCTAATTATATCAATGCAACATTATAACTGTGTTTGTGAATTCCTAGCTTTCATTTTTTTAAAAAATATGAAGTCTCTAGCCCCTTTTGTTGTGGAGATATGCCTTTCCCCTTCAATTTCTGTAACAGAAAGGGCTAAAGACTTTTTAAAATGAAAGCTGAGAATTCAGAGAACCTTTTACACATATTTTTATAATGTTACATTAATATAATGATATTCAACTGCCCTTTTTTAAAATTAAAAAAGTCCCAATTGTCCTGAGGGATGGCCACTGCTAAGGATTGCCCACTTCCCCACTGTCATTCTTGTCACTCATTTGTCCGTATTGCTTCAGGGTTTCCCTCCCCCCAAGTGTTTTGCTCTGTCTAGTAGTCCCAGAGGGAGCAAAGCACATGTGGGGGGGGGGGGGGAAGACATAAGGCACGTCAAGGACACTGTGTAAGTGGTTACAGATTTCTAAAATCCTTATGCATTGGTTACAGAATGTCCCATTTTTGTGATTGTACTGGCTCACTATATGTAATCCACATTGAGTCCCTGTGACAGACTATAAATAAGAAAGTTTTTTAAAAAAATACACACACACACATATATACAGAGTCAAAAAAGCTGTGCAGAAGGAATGTGGGTAAAATGTAGAAAAATAGTATGGGACAAAGGTAGACTCTCAAGACTTTGTATATGCTACTAGATTTTTCTTTTATTCATTTAGGAATAATCCCTAAATACTACTGTATAAAAAACATTTTTGTAACCAAAATGGCAAAATTGTTTGTTATGTCACTCCCTCGGGTCTCACCAACATACTTCATCAGCGATCTAATGCCAAGAACATCTATGATTTAACCTTGCTTTGCTATGAACCCTCTCCACTACAACTGTCTACACAAATAATATATCTATATAAATAGAGCTTTGATAAAAAGCCTTTCATACAACACTGTATTCTTCTGGCTTTCCCACCATCCCCTACTCGATTTTGGGATATACTAAACGAATGTACTAAAAGGAATGACAAGAATGCCTATAGGGAACAATACCGTTCAGTGTGTCTCACAGTAACTTTCCCTAAAAAAAAATACTGAAAGAAAACCATCCAGATTGTCAGCAAGAGGCTCTTAACCTTCGACGACTTCCCACACTTCCTCGAGATCTCTATCTCCCATTTTAGAATCCTTAAAGGAATCTCATCAACACAAAATGGTTCCTGGAGTCGCCCCCCCCCCCCCCGTCTCGCCGTTCTTTCCGTGCGACCGCCCCTTCACAAAGGAGGGGCCAGAGTGCCGCTTCAACTAAGCTTCCAAGACAGCGCAGAGGCCGGTAAGAACTGAGGCGTTGTACGCAAGTGCGGAAATCTGGGTCAACCGGCGCCGGTCTGTGCGCGCATGCGTGGAGGGAAGAGGCGTCATTGGGCTCAGGTAGCTGTCAAGTGGTTCCTGCCTCTCGGACCTGCTGTCGTCTGAGGTCCTACCGCGGAGGAGACTAGGCTTGCGTGGGGTCGAGCTGCCTCCCAATCGCGCATAGCTGGCGGCTGTTCTGAGATTTCCTGGTGAGAGGGCTTGGGGCTAAGGGGGTGGTCTTGGCCAGGTGAAAGCCGAGCTTAGAGACAGCTAATGATTTCTACGCCACAGGGGAAAGGCCGAAGTGTGGGGCCGCGGGGGGGGGGGCGGTAAAGCATCTGTGCACGTGCTCAGCGCTGCTCAGGAAGGGACTGAAAGGGGTGAGATGGGCAGGTGGTTGCTTTACCGCCCGTTTCCCCCCTCGACAGGACTACCGGGAGCCCGTAAGCATTGAGTGAAGCCATGGGCGTACACTCAGGGATCCCAGATTTCTCCCTTGCCGCTCCCCTCGAAGCAACGTCTCTGCAACACGCCTTGGAATCCAGTGGAGTGACTTGGGTGGAGGGAATCCCCACCTTTTCCCTTGGCGCTGTGTCGGGTGCAAGGCAGGTCATGGAAACAGTAGTTTTGCAGCTTGTCTTGGCAGCCTGACAGTCTGGCGTCTCAAGTGGACGCTTGCACTTTTGGGGCGTCAAGCTGACATACAGGGTGTCTCCCTCCTCCCTTTTGTTGCATGGTTTCTGGGTGAACTAAACACACAAGCTTAAGGTTGGTACTTGAGGCAAAGGGGAAAGGTAGAACCATGGCCTCTTAAATCATAAAGTGCCAGCAGTTAGTCTTTAGCTCCCTAATTCACTCAGAGCTGAAAATCTGTTTCTGTTATAAAGAGAGTGCATCCATCCATGCTTATAGCTGCTGTTTATAAACAATGGCACAGTTGCAGGGGATTAAATAGATTCAGCTGCCTTTTTAATCTGTTAGTCAGGATACCTCTAGAATCTTTCAGAGGTGAAAGTTGTATGTATGTTAAAAGAGGTGCAGGAGCTCATTAGCATAACTTATTTGCATATGCCACACTCCCTCACATCACCGGAAGTGTGTCAGAAGGCAACACCCACCGCTCAGGCTCCACTGGACTGTTTTGGATTGCTAGCTATTGGGGGGGGAGTGCAGATCTGTCCTCACAAAGGAGGGAGAGCTTGTACCTGAATAAAACTTGGTCTTAAAGGTGCCACTGGACTGTTTTGGACGGGGGGGAGGGGGGGGGGGGGCTCTGCAGCTTACCTGGCTGCTTCTTTGGTGTAGTGGTTAAGTGTGTGGACCCTAATCTGGGAGAACTGGGTTTGATTCCCCACTCCTCCACTTGCAGCTGCTGGATGACCTTGGGCAAGCCATAGTTCTGACAAGAGGTGTCCTGGAAAAAGAGCAGTTTCTGTCAGAGCTCTCTCAGCCCCACCTACCTCACAGGGTGTCTGTTGTGGGGAGGGGAGGGGAAGGGAAAGGCGTTTATAAGCCGCTCTGAGACACCTTTGGGTAGTGAAGAGCGGGGTATAAATCCAATCTCTTCTTCTTCTTGCTCTGACTGAGGGCTGCTGGGAGCAGGGGGTGGGGCTTGCTGTATGTGCCCGCCCCCTTGGGCTCTTTACTGCTGGAGCTCTGCTCCTGTGCGCTCCTGTAGGAAATGACCCCTGGTTATGATGATCTCGTCTTCTTCCCTCCCTCACACACAGGATTTTCCCTTCTGTCTACTTTCTTGCTGAGCAGTCCCTTTAGCTATTTTCTTCTTATTTGTTTGTCTATGGCTGTCCCACCCTTTCGCTTTATCGTGCGTGTGTGTGATGCCAGGAAACTAAGAGACAAAAGTAATTTTATTCTATTCTGCTATTTAAATGGCATGCGAGAGGCTTTTGAAAATTCAAAATGTACAAAATGTTTTATTTAACTTGAAAGAGAAAAGGTCAGGTGGAGGATGTACAAGGTGAACAGATAATAAAACTGAGGTAACTTTATATTCACACAAACACAAGATAGTTTGTTGCCAAAGAGTGTTTCTGTTATTCCACTAAAACTTAGAGGGGAGAGGTTTTCTTTTCAGTTTCTGCTTAAACACTCAAGCATAGGTTCCTGAGTTTCACTGACATGTGAAGTACAGAAGGCAGGAACATATAACCAAGTTCCCAGAATCCTTCTTTATACACAGACCAGGGATCACTCCACTTTTCTAGAAGCTATTTCCCTTGTTAACTGAGTAGAGATCACTTCTCTTTACAAGAAGCTATTTCCCTTTTGTGACTTGAATGAGGATCTTCCTCGATCCACTCACTTTCTTAGCCTCCTTCCCAATCCACAGTCAGTAACTGTCCTTCTTCAGTTGTCAGTTCCCAACTGTCATTCCTTAACTGACTGTCTCAACAGAATTGCATTCAAACAGCTGGTCACTCAAAGGTTCTCAGACTCTGTTAGGCATTAACCCTTGATAGTTCATCACATATGTCCTAATATTTTTCTTGGTGCTTCAATTGGAGAAAGGCATTAAAAATGTGAATACAATGCAGCTGGAATTGCCTTTATTTTGTATATACTGGGTAATTACATGAGAGACATGTTGACATAGGTACCTGTCCTTTTTTCCTTTTGTAGATGAATCTCAAGTGTTGACCTTCTTGGTTGCTGTTTGCCTTGGCAAAAAAGGACTGTCTAATTAAAAGTTGGGCATTGCAAATCTGATTGGTTAAAGCTAGACTGAACAAATCACAGTGAGTAACTATTTTAATTTCTCAGCATTTTGGTAGGAACTTAAGGGTCGTGATGTTAAACCCAAAATAGATGTCCTTTCAGATGAGTAATTTAAAATAATAACTTAGTTACTTACCCAGTTCTCTGGAAGCTGATCAATTTCACTACAAAGTATGGGATTCTGTACTGACATAGGGTATGTGTGTTTACTATTGTTGAACACTGATCCTATACATCTTGAGTTAGAAGATAGTCTATTATGTGTATTCCTGGCACTCGGGAACCTTGCAAACAACTGTGCATTAGTTGCAGACTGTGCCCAAAGTCTTATTTTAGTGACCCGTGTATCTATAGATCTGCTTTTTAATAAACATTTGAACTGAGTTTAGTTAAGTTTTACTTGAATATTTGATTGGTGATTGAAAACTATAGGAAACTTTTCACATTTTCATTTGCAAGTGGCTCAACCTGTTACATATTGTACACTGGATGTCAAAAAGATCCAAGAGTTTGTTCATACATGGTGAAACTGAATGCTATTTTTTATCTAATTCCTCTGCATGTAGTACAGGGATACTTAACTGAGAGCAATGATGCTTAGATAAATCTATTTTGGTAGCTAGTCAGTTGAGACTTTGAGATGGATTTATTTTGAATAGATCCAATAAGGCAAGCTGACTTGTAACGGCAGCTATCAAACTATGTTATGGCTGTTCTCTCTCTCCACTTAAGTGCAAGAGAATTTTTTTATTTCCAAATTATTATAATTGTATCAGAGCAAGAATACTGGCCTTTTAAAATAATAATTTGAATATGGTTATTTTCAAATGTAGATTTGATTTCATATGCTTCGGGGGAAGATTTGGGGGCTCAAGAAGCAGCTCTTTCTGGTGACAGTGACAGCAACTGTCAGCCTTAAATGTCATTAGAAAGACCTACTTCTTGAGCCCCCAAATTTGTACACAAGACTATTTTGGAAGTTTGTACAGATCAGCAGCATAGAATTTTTAGCAGGAGTAATGGAGGTTTTTCTAAAAGTGATCTTGTATTAAAGGGGCTATTCTCAAGGTACAAGACAGTCTAGAAAAAAATAACCAAATCACTTTTCAATTGCAAAAGATTCCCTGCCTTGTCAACTGAAGGCAGTTTATGTTCATAGCAGACAGCCAGGTGAATAGCTTGGTAATATGCCAGCATAGTTTTGTGAGACATAGGCTGTAATGAAGATTCTATTTTTAATGCTTCCATGGGATCTTCAGACAACCCTTTAAATGTTTTATTATTCATAAAGTTGTTTGAGGGCTTGGCATTATGATGATAGTTCTTGAAAGTTTGGGTTTGTTAATTCATATAATTTAAACACTTTTACAAATAAAATGAAACTGCAGTAACTCTTCAGTTATGCTTTTGTTATGTCTCCTAAGTATTGATATGCATTCTTAGGCTTCTTTTTTAATGGGGAAGATGGTTTGGGAGGTGGAGCATAATAGTGTGCGGCATTGTCCTTGGGAAAGGTTTTTCATTTTAATCCCAAACTACTTTTTGGGTTTAGCAGTGGTATGCAGGTTAATGGCAACAGTTTAGCGTTCTGTGCTAGTACATACTGAGAATCAATATGGGGGACAAAAATTATCCCCTTTTAGATCTCAGAATGTCAGACTAGGGGATCTGGGTTCAAATTTCCATGAAGCTCCTTGGAGAATTTTCAGCAAATCCCTGTTTCTCAGCCTAATCTGTTTATGCTTCTATATTTTTGCCACATAGTAGGCCCATAGTGAATCTATTTCAGAGCTGTCAGCATAAAATGGAAGGTTGCCATCTGAGCTCCATGGAGAAAAAGTGGAATAAGTGTAAAAAATAGCCTATCTAATATGATGACCAACTGTTATGGTATCTGTTAATCCAAACAGCCCAAACCCTTTGGAACTTTGTTTATTCTTCCCCAGCCATTGATTGTGTCAAGATGACTATCGTCTAAAGTGTATTTGTAGTTATTAAATTCTTGCACATCATAGGAACTTGATAAATCCTTACTGAAATTCATTTTTGGGAAATATAATTTATTTTATATTTTACCTAGCCTAGAAGTGCAAGGAGACAGATGTGGGTGATTGCCTCATGGCCGCAGATAAACCAGTTCATTCATCCAATGTTAAGTGTAACTTGGACACATTCTTTAGGTAAGAAAATGATGGTACAAAATGTATTGTACATATAAGTTGGGTTTAACATTACCACACTAGTTCTAATAGATATCAACAGTTGAACAAATTTACATGTATTTTTGCACGGTATATTATTTGCTGTGCTTTCAGTTATGCTCAGTTGCATTGTAAAAGGGAAATGTATTGTAAGGTCAGAAATAACATATCAAAAGAACAATCAAATCAGCAATCAAATGAAGAAGAAATCAACCATTACCTTTGTTGAGAACTAAAAACAGGCCTGTGTTCATTCATGTTATAAAATTATGTTGTCATAAAATTATGTTGCTGTAACATTTCTGTATCTGCCTTATTAACTTTTTCAAAATTGTTTGTTCAGTTCTTGTTTACTGTTAGCTAATAATGTAACATTGCATCGAAATGTATCAAAACTGCATTATTTGTCACCTGAATGAAGACTTGGGTTTTGAAGAGACAGCTTAGCAATCCTTTGATAGACAGTTATGGTCACTGTCTTAACATAGTGCGATATCTCTATTGTAATCATAGTCAAGGTAACTTCTCTATGAACCAGGATCCTTTGGAGCTTAGTTCATCTTAAATTGTTTGTAGAGATTCTCTTCTCCCTTGGAGAATTGTCCTGGTTATTAGTGCATTGTTTCTCACAACACTGCCAGGAACGCATCTTATTTTGTTAGGATTTTTCCAACTCTGCAGGCACTTCTGGAATTCTGAAAAAGGGGTAGTGGATGCTGGGGGGGGGGCATCCTTCAGTATTTTTGTTAATGTAAGGGTGGTATCTGCTGTTTAAAAATATTTGAACTTATATTTGAGAGAGGAAAGCATAAAAAGTAAAATTCAAATTATTGGAATTAATCTAGTAACCAACATTTGTTTTATCATACACACTTTCCAGTAAACTGTAGAAGCAGCCTGTTTAAAATAGGACCACTCACATTTCTGCAAACAGGTTAAGAGATAAAGAGAAGTAAAAGAGAAGGTGGTAGGGAAGGTATTCACAAGGCAGCGTACACGGAGTCTTGACTCACGTTTTTTTGGTTGTCAAGGGCCTGTTGCCTACAGTGTAGATTGTGGGCCCTTCAAAGACTGAGCTTCTGCCAAGGGTATTGGGTGGGTTCGGTGGATGGAGTGCCAGAAATGCCAGGAAGCTCTGAGTGTGTGAAAGGGCTGCCAGCTCCAATGGAGTTTCAGGGCTTTTAGCATCCAGGCACCACTTTGCTGTTTGGTCTTGGCTTGCACACTGAGACCTGGAAAGAAATTGTGGGTACGATATAGAATTATCAAGTCACCTTGGTGTCCTGCTTTTGTAGAAGCCTGCTTGAATCTGTAGATTTCACCCATACTTTGCAGGAGGCAGCTGGATTTTGACTTCCCCTCTCCATTCCTCTCACAACCACTGCAGCCTGTCATTCCTTTCCATCGTCTTCAGCATACCTTGCAGATGGTTGGAGGGGGGGGGGGGTTGAGGACACAGACTCAGGGAAGGGAGGAATGGGAAAAGGGAGAGTAGAAGGGAGCGTGAACAGGGCAAAAGAGGACAAAGAAGAGAACATGACAAGGCTTAAGGGAGGAGTGTGGAAGGGCTGAAGTAGCAGAGCAGCAATTGGGAACCAGGAAGCACATCCATGGTTGCCATGTTTGCCCCATAACCTGGAAATATGGGCATATCAAGCCAAGTGTTACCTTTATGGAAGTAATTGTGTGAAGAATATCAAGTCAACACTGCTGAATCCCAACTGCAAAGTAATTTGATGCATTTTGAAGTTGGCATTCTGTTGTACTACTCCAAAGCTGTTTTATTTATTTGTTTGGTTGCAGCTGCATGTTGTGTTTGAGAAGTGTGTGTGTGTGTTTTTTAAGGAGAGAATTATTGGTTGGCCCATCACTGCCAGATATGCCAACAGCATAAATAAGTATTGAAGGGGACACCCACCTGCTATCATTTGTTGTCCTATTCCTTGTCTCCACCTTTAGCTGTGGCATGTAAGTGCATGCACTGCCTGCCTGCTTGTCTTTTTCATACTTCCTCATTCAGTGTCAGATATTAGATACAACTGCAGCATTGTATTGTTTTTCCACAGCTTGGGGAAAACAGGGCAACGGCAGCTGTCAGGCTTTGGCTGAGAGTGGAACAAGGGTGGATAGGCATTTGCCACTCAGTACTCACATAGTCAAGAAGATGAATGGCAAATTACATGGGCATATGAAGCTGTTGACTCTGTTCCTAAACAAATCAGCTCTCTGTTCTGTGTGTAGAAAAATGCTTTTTGAAAGACAATTTCATCAGCACAGTTTGCAAATGCATTTACCAGAAAGTTACTCTTCTAAGTCTTGGCTCGACTTTTCTGAACAAATCCTTCAAGAATTAGGAAAATTAAATGGTTCTTTCCATTATAGTTGCCTTTCCCCTAAAATCTAAATGAGTACTATTAGAAGAAGCCAGGTACACATACATAAATATTACATGGCAACTTGAACTGGTGGTGGAAAGTGCTGTCAAGTCACAGCTGATTTATGTCAACCTTGTAGGGTTTCCAAAGGCAAGAGGTGTTCAGAAGTGGCTTGCCATTGCCTGCCTCCATTTCATCCTGGGCCTGGTATTCTTTGGAGGTCTCCCATCAGTTGCCAAGGCTGACCCTGCTTAGCTTCCAAGATCTCACAAGATCGGGCTAGCCTGGACTGTGCAGAACAGACAATTTGAACTAGACATTTGAATAGTGTTTATTAGTCAAAAGTACAGTTTGTAGTGATGAAATCTGCATAATGTTCATCTAGTTTAATTTATGCATGATAGTTTACAGAATACTGAAGGAAAAAGATGGGCCCTAGCACTTAGAGTTTACAGTATGCAATACTTTTCATTAAGTACATCAGAGTGACTCCCCATGCACACCTTAGGCCTCTTCGAGGACACTTCTCACTTAAATTATGTTTTGTCTGATATTCTTCTTGTCCAGGATATGTCACCCCAGTAGTGCTTATAAAGTTTCAGTTTGTTTGATAAAGGTGTCCTTGCAGATTTTTTCATCAGTTAGATTTCTGGTATCAGATGACATTTTAAAAAACCAATCAGTTTAGAACTTTAGATACCTTTTGTTTCAGGCCACTTGGTTCCGAAAATGTAACTCAGTTCTTAATATAGGTTTATCTAGACTCAGCAGGTTTGGATGATTTCACAGGTCAGTCATTCTTCTGGAACTCCACCCTGCTTAAGGAATCCTTTCCTCTCAAACAGGATGACTCATCAGTGGGATGGCTGTTCAGCCAAAATAAAGATGCTTATGTTAGACAGGAACTTCCACGTTCTCTGGAGGTATGTGTGCATGTGCACCTTTAGTTCAAGGCTTCCTGGCTTGTGCAACTTGAATCTAGGTTTTTGTTTTCTTCCCATAAAGAAAATATGTTTGGATCTATTTGAAACATAATGGCTTATATAAAACATGTTTGTCTGTGAATTACTGATTGTTCAGAATAAGGTAGAAACAACAGTTTGATGACTTCTAGCTAAGTAGTCCTCCTCATACAATATTATCCCACTTCCTTCAAACACTAGCTGTTGAGAACCTTTGCTTACCAGTTCTGTGTCTAGCAAATAACCAGCATTTTATGTCAGGTATTCTCTACAGAACGTGTTCTCAGAGGATATGTTCAGTAACGTTGTGGTATAATGAGACTTTATACAACAATATACTTGGTGCCATTTGCATGTTAGCACATAACATTAATAAAACACCAGCAGTGGTCAGGGCTGTAGGAAGCATGCATATTATGGCCCACTCCATGAGACTTTTAAAGCAACTGTAAGCCCTTAGGCCAAATTGCACACTGGGAGGTGCTGCCTTACCAACTAGATGAAAAAATGGTATAGAGAAAATGGTATCTGCAGCAACAGAACCTGTTGCAACATAATTTATGTGGGGTGGAATTTGAGGTACTTCTCAGTTAGTCTTTGAAGTGCCTCTCCAGGAGAATTAATTGCAGTTCAGTTCATTAGACAAGACTGAAAGGGCTCTAGTGGAGATAAGTGAGAGTGGTATAGACCAGGGGTCCCCCAGCATGGTGCCTATGGGCACCATGGTGCCTGCTGACACTTTTTCTGGCACCCATCAAGTAGGGTTGCCAAGTCCTCACCTGTTGAATAGTGGGGGAGTCCAGTCTTGGTCCGGGAGTCCCTCTGCGCACGCCGCAGTTACATCACCCAGAAGTGACGCAATCACATCGGGCACGTTGGGGGCGGGGCCACAATCATCCAAGGGAAAACCATAGAGTTTTCCCTCGGATTTTGGTGCCCCCCCCCCCAACGTGCCCGACGTGATTGCATCACTTCCGGGTGACGTGCTGACGCCGGGCATGTTGCGTGCTTCGAGGGTGGGGTTCCCCCCGGGGCCCGATCTGCCGGCGGCAGGTAACGGGCCTCTCGGGCAGGGGTTTCCCCGCCCCCCGGGGGAACTTGGCAAGCCTACCATCAAGTGTTTGTAGAAAGTGGGTGGGGCAGGTGGGGCTTTTGCCCGGCAAGGCTTCTGACTGGCCACTAGAGTTTTAATTGGTTGTGCAGATTTTAAAAAATGTTTTGTCAGCAGCTGTGTGATTGAAGGTAAGCTGCAGCAGACATTTTGTGGCTGTCTCTACCTCCAATGGCAGACATTTTGTAGCTGTGCCCATTGCGTTGTGTCAGAATTCCAAAGGTGCTGCAGGCTCAAAAAGGCTGGGGACCCCTGGTGTTAAGGCCAAATGTAGCGTGGATTCAAACAACTTACTGGGTAAATCTTATCCTGTAATATTAACCATTACAGCATTCATTTTTAAAACGATGTTACTTAATATAGTAGTGCTATGCTTAGCACTAGAACTTTATGTTTTGTTCTCTCTGAGCAATATTAAATGGCTGTGTTAAGGCTCACAGTGAACTCTTATTTTTAATTGGAAGCTGTAGCATTTCATTTTTATAGCCTGTGCTGCTTTTCTTTGTTGCTTTGTGAACAGTCACCCTAAAAAGTTAAGAACCAGGGAGCTAATTACAATTTGACTTTCAGAGCTAAACTGTCTAAATTTCTTCTGAATAGTATTGCCAGTTATATTATTTGACCTATTTGCTCTTAATGGCTTTAGAGTTGGAAAAAGTTGCTAAATTTTGTTCGGGTTAATTATATTACAATCTGAGTATTCAAACATGTTTAATTTTACAAAAAACCCTACTTTTCAAATATAATAATATTTGCTTCAGAATATTTGTAAAGTAAATGCAATAGCTGCTAAAGTTCTTGAAGTACGAATCATATGCAGTAAGGCTGTATTGTAGAGGAATACTTGTTCAGAAATAGCCCCATAGACACACTATGGAATTCCTTTTCACTGGCTGTTTTTCAGAATAACATGGAGGTTCAGGATCTTGTCTGTTTCATTATTAGAAAGGACAGTGTATTCCTTGATGGAAAACTTCAAGGTGTTCATCTGAATTACAGAGCATTTTCCATTGGAGTAGAAATCTTGTTGAGTTCCATCTCTGGATAAATCTAAACTATTTATTCAGTGGCATCTTCTTTTTCCAGAGACTTTATGAGCCATAAACTGTTAAGGAATTTCTGCAACCTGTTGAAGATTATTTTGCTTGAGCTTTTATAGGAGAACCCCATTTACAGTATTAAATCCTTCTGTGCACAATATGATCCTCTTCACAGGTTTTTAATTATTTATGAAATGATGTGGACTTTGCAATAAAGCTAAACATTCTACTGAACTGAAGAAGAAATAATTGAAACAATTCGCCTAAAGACCTCAAGTTTACACATGGCGTAGATGTGTTAAAATTTGTATATACTACAGTGGCAGCACTTCATAGTGTAAAATTTTCCTTCTTTTCTGAATATTATTCCTCAGCTTTCAATGTGAGATAAAATCTGGAGTGAGGAACATATGTTATTAGATATCAGTCACCAGTTTCTATGTCTGCTCTGTGATTGTTTAGTTTTGGTAAAGCTATTAATTTGGAAGAGGACAATCACAAAGCTAATGTAGAAACTGGTGGGTTGTTATCTAACAATGTATGTTCCTGGGTAATGCTATTGTACAAGAATCCATATCTGAAGTGAATTATGATGAGCTTCTGCAATTCTTTCCATTGGAGAAAGGGATTACATGCTGGAACAACTAGAGGAAGTATTTACAGGAAATATTTATAAACTAGACGAGCTATATCTGTTAATTGGAAAACATCCTGTTGCTTTCATCTAGCTTTGCTACTCTTACTATAGATACTAGTGTGAACTACACAAGCAGTATGTTAATTTTAAAGCTTTAGCAAAGTTTGCAATGTCTAAACATTGTTTTAAAAATCCTGTATATACAAATATACCTTGAAAAGGTTAGGATGCCAGCTCCAAGTATTCCATCTGGGGGAAATGCCAGAATTGGTAGGTTTTTAAAAGCTCGGTTTAAAAACTGCAATATAGGGCACAGAGAATTAAATTAGAGAGGCACAGTCTGTAGAAAGTTTTCATGTACATTTCAGAGGCCTAAGTGCAAGAGAAGATTATTAAGAATGCCCTATGACAGTTGATTATCTACTTTGTGAACTCTAGGTTTATGTATGTAATGCATAGCATTACTAGAAACACTCATTTCAGAGATGGATATCAGTAATTCTTCTATTAACTTCCTTGATGAGAGGATAATATTAGCTGTTGCTTGTAAGCTGTTGTGTCACATCTGACTTTCATGCTGTTAAAAAGTTCTGTATTACTGTGGTCACATCTTAATGTTTTGTCATGTGTTTCAAGAAGACAGAATTTAAAGGTGCTGTTCACATCCTACTGAAATTGTTGGCTAAGCCTCTATTATATTTAATGGTTCTGGTCTGGACACTCATGTTGTTATTCTTGAGAGACTTTGTGGTTGCAGACAATGAGGGAGATGGTAGTTTTAATATTTAATATTTATTGCACACATACAAATAACAGAAGGAGAATCAGGAAACAGGCACAGCAAAATAGCCATGTAAAATACTAAGCTTCGGGAATTACTGAGCTATGAGTAACCAGATAACATAACACCAGCATTTAGGGATTAAGCAACAACAAGCAAAGCAGATGATTCCTAGCGGAAGCTGTCTCGGTTATAATAAATGTCTTCCTTTGAACTAGGCCAAAGTGAGAACCTACCATTAATTTATGATCCTAGAGTGTCCCCAGAGAGGAATAGAGGAAAGAGAGGGAAGGTTTCTCTCTTAGTGGCAGGGGAAGGACTAATTGCAAGGAGGAGAGACCGAACCTTTAAACCACTTTCCCTTCCCCTATAGTGGCGGGGGTACAGTCTGTGATGGAGAACTAAACTCATTCTAGCCCCTGCCAGGATGATACCTTTTGTACTGGTCATTTAAATTCTGTAATTTGTACATTTGGATACTCTCTGTTGTATGGCCAAATTTCATAATTCTGCATGTGACTGGGATAATTTTGGGGTACTCTGTGGTTGGAGAAACATTAGAATCTTTGTTCTTATTGAGGTGCAAGTCAGAATCCTGGCTCATATTGGGAAGCTCAGATTTTACTTTTTGTAAGAAGTTTGGTTTATTCTCCTACTACAATTGCCAGGTCCCTCCTGGGAACTGGCAGGGGATTGGGGGGAAGAGGAAGTCCCAGGCCACGTTGCTAGTGTCACACAGGAAGTGATGTCATACTGTGATGCTCTGGTATTTGAGCAAAAACTCTATGGAAAATGGCTTCAACCATAGAGTTTTTGTCTAAATACCAGAGCATCACCCAGACATAGCTGGCATAATAGTGTCACTTCCTGTCAGATGTCAGCAACGTGGCCTGGGCCTTTGTCTTTCTCATGGTAATCCCCCTGCTGGCCAGCTGATCAGCAGCAGGGGGCAGGGCCTGGTGGCAGGGGAACCCAGCCTTCACGGGGTGGGGGAGGCTTGCAAACCTGTGTCCTGCAAACCTCACTGATTAATCATTGACTCATCTAAGTCCAGAGTCTTCAAGAAGCCACAGAATAGAACCATTGGATAGGGCTATCTGGGCACTGGCATCTTGAAAGAAAATATCCTCATCTTAATTTCTCTGCTTTAATATCAAACCTTAGTTTCCCCACAATCTAAGACACTGTAAGGCTTGAGAAGTAGTTCTATGGGGGTTGTCTTCCAGCCCAGGAATTCTTATGCAGAAACTGTATATGGAAGAAAGGGAAGTGAAGAGGGTGTTGCATATTACATTTTAGCAATTCCTTTTGAGAAACTGTAAATATGGACACACCCATACATATACGTCAAGTTTCCAGATAATAAATAAATCTTAAATATAAACATCTCTAGCATTTTGTTACTTTGATACCATGAAAAATTATCTTCATTTTGTTAACAGATCCCAGACATTTCTTCTAGTTGGATATTGCTTAGAATTTTAATACTTTTTTCTTGGCCATCTACTTTTCTAGAGATCTACTGTACTTGAAAACTTACAGAAAACTTTGTAGCTTATATTCATCCCAGCATTCTTGTACCTGAAATCATCTCGCTTTCGGAATGAAGAGGATCAGGCAAACAGATAAAGGTGAAAATCCAGTTCTTCAAAAGCTACAGAGAACAAAAAAGCAAAAAACTGGTTACTGCAGTACCTCTCATCCATATGCCTTGATAGACTGGGGAACCCTACCCCACCATGTAATCTTGCACATATTTCAGTTCCTGCCTCTTGTTGACCGTGCTCGTGCATCTTCCGTTTGTCGAAGATGGAATGAAGTGTTTCATATCCCTGATCTCTGGAGGAAGTTTGAATTTGAGCTCAGTCAACCTGCTACTTCATACCTCAAGTCAACTCACCCAGATCTCATCCAGCAGATCATTAAGAAGCATGCTGACCACTTGCAGTATGTCAGCTTCAAGGTAAAAAATATCTACCTTTAGTCAAAGAAATAAAGGTTGCTATATGCACCCTTGTTGCTTTAATTATTATGACTATTTAATTAAAGCACATAACTTAGTGTGCCTTTGTTGTTGTAGACAGGGCTTTTTTTGTAGAAAAAGCCCAGCAGGAACTCATTAGCATAACAGGCCATACCCAACAGCAGGAACTCATTAGCATATTAGGCCACACCCCCTGACAGCACAGCTCATTCGCATATTAGGCCACACCCCCATGTTACCAGAAGTGTGGTCATCCAACCACACCCACCTTCTTATTCTCTTCACCTTCACCTTGTTTGTCGTCAAAACCCAGGGCTTTTTGTTTGGAGCAGGAACTCCTTTGTATGTTAGGCCACACCCCCTAATTGTAGCCAATCCTAATGAGTTTCTGCTGTTGGGTGTGGCCTATTATGTTAATGAGTTCCTGCTGGGCGTGGCCAACTTGGGAGCCAGCCAGAACGCCGTTCCTGTGCGTTCCTGCCCCAAAATAGCCCTGGTTGTAGACAAAACCCAAATATTTCTATCTATGGCCTCTGTCCAAACCACAATTAATGGAATGGAGTTCAGAGAAGTGATCTTTACAGATTCCAAAATATATTCCTGAAAGTCATAAGACCCTTGGAAATAGTGTTGAATGCAGTGTGGAGAAGGAGAATTGTTAGACAGAGCTACCTACTCTGATTGTGGAAGTGTAGGATGTGTTTTAAATTTCCACTAAATTGCCCTTTAATGCATCCCCTTCCTCCACAGCATTCTATACCATTCCCAAGATTTTCCCAACCTTCAAAAATGACTTATACTATCAAAAATGATAAGTAGGCAGAAAGGAACAAGCAAAAATTCTTCCTACTAATTCCATTCCATTCGCACTTGTGTATATTTTTAGAGTTCCAATAAAAAGGCATGTTCACCTATAGAATCTGCATGATGCTAAATTCATGCTGCTTAAACGAGCTAATGCTAGGGAATTCCTGGGTTCAGAGTTACTTATATAATCATTAGTGGAGGTGAGTAGAGTATCCCTTTCAAATACATCTTCCACCATATTTATTTCAGCCTGCATAAGAATATTGGTCTTAGTCACTTACTTGAAGCACTAAGTATTGAAATTGCTGTGGGGAATATGATCGCATAGAGTTATGTAAAAGTATAGATGCCAGCTATCTGTATTTTCTGTTAAATTGATGCTTTTGTGTTTATATTTTTAAAATGTGCACATCCTTGAAAATACCTTTTTTCAAGAACAGGTAATGGATTGAATGCTGGTTGTCACCGATGCTCCCTCTACGCTGTGTAGTCTTGTGAGCAGAAATTCTACTTTGTGAGCTACTGACATTAAAGTTGTGAGCGAGAGATCTGGGTAGTACATAAATTAGTTTGCTCTGGTGCCATCCTTCCTGAGCTAAGACAAAAATGTGTGAGCCGAAGGCTAAAAAACTGTGAGCTAGCTCACACTAACTCAGCTTAGAGGGAACACTGTCACCTGAAGTCCTTTTAACTTTCCTCTGTAGAATATGGGGTCTCTCTTTTTTTTCAACTCCCTGGATTATTTATTTTGCTTTTTGGGGATACGCATGAGAAAAATACAGGTAGCTAGACTTTAATTGACAGAATAAGAAGCATTGCAACAGCTGTTAATATTTTTATAGTGCAGGATTTGAGCCAAAGAGAACTCCATCAGATTGCACTGGTATTAGATACCTTCATCTTGTATGGTTGATATGCTGACATATTAACATGCTGACAATTTTCAATGAGATATGACAAATTCCTTAAAATTGTCCTTCAGGTTGATAGTAGTACTGAGTCTGCAGAAGCCGCTTGTGACATCCTTTCTCAACTGGTGAATTGTTCTATCAAGACCCTTGGCTTGATTTCAACAGCAAAGCCAAGCTTCATGGACGTTTCAAAGGTAATGTGCTGCAGAGTTTTGAACTTGCATTTACAGAAACTGTATAAAAATGAAGGATGCACATTCCTGTCCTAAAAGGTAGTCTGTTATAAATCCTGGCAATTTAAAAATGTGTAGCCTGTTACAAAATATATGGCTGGGCTACGTAAAGGGCTGGAAAAGTTGACAATTTCTAGTGTTATGAAGTGGATTGGGGCAGAATTTCTGATTGAAGTAGGTCTGTGTGGGAACTAGAGAAGCATGTGGGATTTCAGTAGCATCCATTATTCAAAATATTTATTTATTTATTATCCTTAAATTTATATCCCGCCCTCCCCAAAGGCTCAGGGCGGCTCACAAGGGGCACGGATGCCCAGGTTAAGACACTAAAACAATACAGAATAATATAAAATACAATAAATACAGTTCGCTAAAAATTACTTTACGGTGCTCCAAAAATATTTAACTATGAAATTCAAGATGGGGTTCTAAAATTATTTCTACTAGAACAACAAACAACAGTAATAACAAGATATAGCAGCAACAATATACGTCCCTATAGCATTGTCCTCTGCCAGGAACGTCTCGTGTCCCCAATAGTACCTGCTCTGAAGATGGTCAACTATCGGGAATAAAGAGGGGGTCGCAGATGGAATGATGGTAACGATGGTGACGTAATGATGGTGGCGGCGGCCCCTACTCGAAAGCCTGGCGGAAGAGCTCCGTTTTACAGGCCCTGCGGAACTGCACCAAGTCCCGCAGGGCCCGGATCTCTTCTGGGAGCTCATTCCACCAGGTAGGAGCCGCCACCGAAAACGCCCTGGCCCTGGTAACCACAAATTTGATGTTTCTGGGGCCTGGAATAGCCAGGAGATTTTGGTTCCCTGACCGTAGTGCCCTTGGGGGAACATGCGGGGAGAGGCGGTCCCTAAGGTAAGCCAGACCCTGACCATATAGGGCTTTAAAGGTTAAAACCAGCACTTTGAAGCGAATCCGGTACGCCATTGGCAGCCAGTGCAGCGCTTTCAGCACAGGTCGGATGTGATCTCGTCTAGTGAGACCCATCAACAGCCTGGCTGCAGCATTCTGCACTAGCTGCAGCTTCCAAATTTGCGACAAAGGCAGCCCCATGTAGATAGCATTACAGTAGTCTAGCCTCGAGGTGACCGTCACATGGATCACTGTAGCCAGGTCATCTCGGTCAAGGAAAGGAACTAACTGCCGCACCAGCCGAAGGTGATAAAAGGCCAACTTGGCAGTGGCTCCATTGTTAAGGAAGAATCCAGGAGCACACCCAAACTCCTAACCTCCGACGCTAGCACCAAAGGCGCCCCGTCGAAGGTCGGGAGAGGGAGCCTCGAACCGATCCGACTCAGGCCCAGGATCTCCATCTTTGCCGGGTTTAGTTTCAGCCAACTCAGTCTGAGCCAACCAGCCACGGCCTGTAACGCCCGATGAAGGTCATCTGGGGTGGTGTCCGACCAGCCGCCCAACATCAGATAGAGCTGGGTGTCATCTGCATATTGATGACACCCAAGCCCACAACTCCGGGCAATCTGGGCAAGGGGGTGCATATACATATTAAACAACATCGGGGACAGCACCGCCCCCTGAGGCACCCCACATTCAAGAGGCCACCTCTGGGACCGCTGATTACTTATCGCCACCCTTTGTCCCCGACCTTGGAGAAAAGAGGCAAACCATTGATGGGCGAGCCCCTGAATTCCCACGTCGGCGAGGCGGTGAGGTAGCAGCTGGTGGTCGACCGTGTCAAATGCGGCCGACAGATCTAACAACACCAGTGCTGCCACACCACCTCGATCCAGATGCCTACGGAGGTCATCAATCAGAGCGACCAGAGCCGTCTCCGTCCCATGACCCGGGCGAAAGCCGGACTGGAAGGGATCAAGGACAGAAGCGTCATCTAGAAAGCCCTGTAACTGTATCGCCACCACCCTTTCAATAAGTTTGCCCAAATAGGGCAAATTGGACACCGGCCAATAGTTGGTCAATTCGGCCGGGTCCAAAGATGGTTTTTTCAAGAGAGGGTGGACCATTGCTTCCTTGAGTGCCCTAGGGAATCGTCCCTCCAAGAGGGACTTGTTGACAATCTCCCTCAGGGCACCTTGAAACCCCTCGCGACCCACCCTAATGAGCCAGGAGGGGCACGGATCAAGGTTGCATGTGGTTGGATGTACAGATACGAGCAATCTGTCAACTTCCTCCAGGCTGAGTGGGCCAAAACTCACTAAACCCAACACCAAAGACGTGCAAGAGGCCTCAAGTTTGCTCACTGTATCAATTGTGGTGGGGAGGTCACGGTGGAGCGCCAAGACTTTCTCTGCAAAATACCTCGCAAAAGCCTCACAGCCAATGTCCAATTCCCTAACATTTTGCCTGCCCTGTGGCAGAGCTGTCAAAGACTGAATTGTACTAAATAATTGGGCCGGGCATGAGCTAGCAGATGCAATCATGGTCGCATAGAAATCTCTCTTTGCGGCCTTGACTGCTATCTCATAGGATCTCATAAGCGTCCTATAGGATGTTCTTGATGCCTCGTCACGAGTCGTCTCAGTTCTCGCTTCAGCTGGTGCAACTCCTGAGTGTACCAGGGCGCCCGCCTAGAACGAGTGCGGAGAGGATACCTAGGAGCAATCTCGTCGATGGCTGAGAAGAGCCGGTCGTGCCAGTCCTTCACCAGCTCATCCAACGAACCGCCAGGGGGCCTTGGATCCCGCATAGCTGTCTGAAGCCGCGTAGGGTCCATCTGGCAGCGCAGGCGAGCAAAAATCCGCTCGCCGCCCAAACAGGGTCGGAGTGGAACATTCAGACGGGCCTTCAGAGCCTGGTGATCCAACCATGGCACTGCTTCCACAGTGATTCGGTCCACCATCACCCCAGCCGCGAAGATCAGATCGAGCATGTGACCGGCTCGATGCGTGGGGGCTGTAACAAGTTGAGAGAGTCCCAGTGCCGCCATGGACGACACTAGGTCCGTAGCCCGGCTGGAGGCCGCATCCTCGGCATGGACGTTGAAATCCCCCAAGACAATCAGGTGCTCCAGCCGAGGGTGCTCCAGCGCCCAGCCTGATACGGCTTCAGCAGGGGCGGCAGGCTATTGGCCGGTGCGTTGGGCGGTCGGTACACCAACCAAATTGCCAAACTCTCCTCAGCCTCCAGCATCACGCCGACACACTCAACGCCCACGATCTCTACAGCCGGGAGCACCCTGGAGTAAACCTCCCAAATGAAAATAGCCACTCCTCCCCCCCACCCCCTAGTCCGAGATTGGTGAAGGACCGAGAAATCAGGTGGGGCAAGCTGGGTGAGAGCTACCGTCTCCACCCTCCCTCACCCAGGTCTCAATCATGCACACCAGGTCGGCCCATTGTTCCATTATAAAATCCCAATGGACTGTGGCTTTGTTGTTAATGGACCTGGCGTTGCACAGCACCAATGACAGAGGGGGGTTCTCCATTTTTGCCCCACTGCCAGCCACCCTTGGGATGGGCCATAGGCTGGAAGGGCGCCGAGCCGTATGAAGTCAATAAAATGGTAGTGTGTGTCTTTAGTTAAAACTAGCATTTGGTCGAAAGGAGAATAATCTGTGGCTTGCTTTTGTATCTTGTAATTGGCAATACTGCATTCTACTCAGCTCAGCAACATACAGACTTCATAGTGGCTTGTCTGTCTTCTGTTTTTTACTTTCAGATATTTTCCCTTGAAAAAGCACTTGCATTATGACTTGTTTTAAAGCTCTTTTCTTATGATAGTAGTACAGATGGTATTTTATGAGCTACTCATCAGAATGTACTAACACAGACCCGTTAGCGGTCCCTTTCCAGAAAAAATAGCAAAGAAGTTAATAGCCATGCTATAATAAATACTATGACATGATAAATTAGGAGACAAGGTAGTACAGATCCATGTAGATGTTATGTCAGGGAGAATCTGAAATGCTGAAATAAACATGTTGACAAAAGTTGACCTGATTACATCTTGAGTGCAAATGAAACACGTAATCCATGTTCGAAAGACTGCTTGTAACCCACAAGAGTAAACATGAAGGAGAATATATTTTTTTTAATTGCTGTATTCAAGATAGTAGGTTTTACTCACTGAAATAGATCCTGCCGGGTTAACTTTTATATGGGGGGGAGGGTTGTTGCATACCAGACCGATAAATGACAAATGGAGAGGGAATGAAACCTAATTCAAATGTTCTTTTTGGTGTGGATCCTGCAGAAAATTAAATCCATTTGATGCAGGAACATTTACAAGCTTTATATAGCTAGCCTGAATCATGTGGGAATTAATTATACCACTGCCCTTGACTCTTCAGCTTACCTTTTCAGAAAAAAATTAAATGTTCATTGTCACAGCCACACTGACATGGTTGTCTGAGTGTTGTGTAATATAGCTGTGTTCAGAAGTTGAAAACAGGTTTGTCAGTGATGTACGTGGAAACAGTTTTTGCCATGTTCATCTGCTTCCCTCTCTCATCCCTCATTTCATGAGGAGTGCAGTTGCAGGCTTTTCAGGTTTGGGAAGCCTTGAATCATGCTTCAGTTTATTATCCATATACGACCAGTTTGTTCCCTTCATCCCAGCCACACCAGGATTCTTAATATTGGTTCAATTCCAGTTCAAAATTAACCCTCGTGCCTTAGTTTTGATGTTACAGTGAAGTGGCACTGGATTCAAGGCTTTCCAAATTTAGAAGCCTTTGTTTATTCTTTGTGTTTAGGGGGGAAGAACAAGGGGAGCATAACATCACTGAAACTTGGTTTGTCTGAAGGCAGCCATGAACTAAATAACTAAATTATTACTAAGTGTAAATTTGTTTATAACGTATCTTTCCTCATTCAGCCTTAGGCATAAACTTCATTCAGTAGTAATACTATTAATGCAGTCATTAATCCAGGCTCACTCTCTGTTAGTCAAGCAAATTTTCAGAAGATTCTCCTCAAATATTCAGTAATAACTTCAAATCATGATTTGGCACTACCTGAACTTGCATGGGAGGACTCTTGGGCTCCTTTCTGTCCTTTCATCTCCCCTCGAATAGTATGAGCTGAAGGTAGGAAGGAGGCAGAGGAGAACATGAAGGAAGCCAAGGCTCTGTGAAGGCTCATTCATGGATCACTAAACCATGACTTGGTGTTACGGCAGAATGTCTTAAGATTTAAATGCAATTTTTTTCTGTCTTGAGACTAACACTGTCATTCAGCATGCAGAAGACATAGAACTGCTTGGCAAATATTTTCTATTTTGTTTATTTGAATAGGCTCACTTTGTATCAGCACTGACAGTAGTATTTGTCAATTCAAAGTCATTATCCTCCATCAAAATTGAAGACACACCAGTAGATGATCCATCTTTGAAAGTCCTTGTTGCTAACAATAGTGATACATTAAAGTTGCTTAAAATGAGCAGCTGTCCTCATGTATCTCCAGCTGGTAAGTAATAACTCTGGCAAAACAACAATATAAAATCTAAGTAGCAGTTGATGTTGAAGTGTTTCTTCTAACATTTTATTAATTTAAAAGTGGTTTTAGGATTATTATGCCACATGGAATTTTTCATGGTATTTATCTACTTTGCTTTTTATGATGTCAAGTTTGTGGGTCAAGCTTATTTCATTTTGCTGAAAGAAAGAAGTTGAATATATGGCTGTGTTATTAGCTATCTCATTGGCACAGAAGTTGGCAGGGTCATCTATAAGTATTATAGGGTAGTGATGGCAAGTGTAGACTCAGTGTCAGAAGTAGTGCCCTTGCATGGCCAAGTTTACAAAATGCATCAATCATGGCCAGCCCCATCCACCATATGTGACTTTATTTTTCTGCTTGACCAAGGCCAGCCCTATCTTGCTGAACAGATGAGACATACTTATAAGGGCAGCATTCTAGTAGTTCTGTCTCCATGTTCATTCCCATACTACATCCAAACCTTCCCCCAACATCTAAGCCAACTTGCCTTTTTTGTAGCAAGTCAGTAGGTGGGGACACCAGCATTTATTCTAAGGATTTTTGTTTTGGTTTTGAGCCACAATGAAGCAGCAAGTTTTCTAGTACACCACCAACTTAAGCAGTCTCTCCACTAGGGGTGTGCACTTGGCTTCCCTGAGCTGAAAAAAATAAAAACAAATAAATATCTTATTGGTATTTAATCGGTATTCCTAAAACGAATGCAAATTTAGGAAACTTTTCAGCTACTGACTAGTGTTCCCTGATTTTATTCGGCTTTCCCCCCTAGCTTTTGGGTACTGCTGAATGCCGACTTCCCTTCCCTCCCCCAGCTGCTGGCTGGGAGGGGAAGGCATTTAAATCTAACAGCTGACTGGTGGAGGGGAGTGAAATTGACAAGTTGTCAGCTTCATTCCTCTGTGCTGGTGAGCTCTTAGATTTAAGTGCCTTCCCCTCCCAGCCAGTGGCTGGGGAAGTGAAGAGGAGGTGTTTTCAGATGCCTCCCTTTTCTGTTCATACTTCCCCAGCTCGCCACAGCAGCAGTAGGACTGGGGGAGGGAGGGGGAGGCATTTAAATACCTTTCTCGTTTCCCTTCTCCAATCACCTGCTGTTAGGCTGGATGCCTTTTCAGCCATGGAAATAGTGAGTTTCAGTCCCCTCCACTTGGAAGCAGAGGGGACAGAAATTCACCATTTTTATGGCTGGAAAGGCATCTAGCCTAACAGCGGAGCTGGCCCAGTGCTTTTAATGCCCATCCCTGGCTTCCCTGGTCTCTCCACCCTGGCAGGGCGCCCTGGAAAGCCGGGGGGGGGGGGCATTTAAAGATGCCTACTCCCTTTCCTTTGGCTTTCCTGGGCACCCCACAGCTGTGGAGAAGCCAGGGGGGAATTTAAAGATTCTTGGCTTTCCTGGGCATCTTGTGATGGCAGGGCATCCAGGAAAGCCCCTCTGTCACTTGGTTTTCCTGGGTGCCCTGCCATGAAACTGACCAGTGTAAGTTTCGGGGGGCTTTTGGAGGGAAAGGAAGGCATTTAAACATGCCTTCTTGCTCTCCCTCAGTATAATAGACCTGAATATTCAGGAATAAAAAGGAATGCCCAATATCTCCTAAATCAACATGGCATACCAATAATGGTATTTAAGGATATTCGGGAATCCCGAATATATTCAGCTCCATTAACCTCGAATCCAAATGATACTGCATTTTTTTTCTTGTACACCCCTACTCTACCCATAAGGTGGTCTGTGCCACTCACTTACCTTTGCAGGATCAGACTAAGTTCACTGTTAATGACTGAGTTAATGATAAGGTTCTGCTGTCACTCAGTGATAGAGCATCTGCTTTGAATGCAGAAGGTTCCATGTTCAGTCCTCAGCATCTATGGTTATTAAAAGGATCAAGTGGTAGGTGAAGTGAAAGACCTCTGTCTTAAATACTAGTGAGCTGCTACCAGTTGCAGTAGGCAATACTAACCTTGATAAACCAGTGGTCTGAATTTATATAACGCAGTTTGAATTGAGGGGGGGCGGGGGGGGGGGGGAGGATGACAAAACTGGATCTTTTATGTAAAACCTAATTGGCCTCATTTAATTCAGGACTATGACTATGTGCACACTTAAGCAGTTGAAACTGAATTGCTTTTTGATGTACTAGCAAGTTAAGGATGCAGTGGTCCTCCCTTTCATAGACATGTAGGGCTTTGGGATTCAAAAAAATGCATAAATTCTTTCCTAATAATATGCTAATAGACTTACAAGCAGTGACAATAGTATCTAAATGAGTGTATAGATTGTATTTGATAATTCATTGGAGTTCTGGGTTTGTTTCTCTTTGGATCATGCCACCTTGGGGGAACCTATGTGGATAGAAAGGCTACAGAAATGTGTTAAAAAGTAAATAATATAATTTAACCTTCGGTGTGATGCATAGAATTTGTTTGCTAAAATGTCTCATGAATTCTCCTGCACAGTTGGAAATACTGAGATTAATGTAAATGGGGGTTTTATACTGATGTTACTGACTTTGTTTTCTCATTCCTAGGAATTCTGTGTGTTGCAGACCAGTGTCATGGTCTTAGGGAACTTGCTCTTAACTACTACCTGCTAAGCGATGAACTGTTGTTGGCTCTTTCCAGCGAGAAGCATGTAAATCTTGAGCATCTTCGTATAGATGTTGTGAGTGAGAATCCTGGACAGGTTGAATTTCACACCATCAAAAAACAAAGCTGGGATGCACTTATCAAACACTCCCCCAAAGTGAATATTGTGATGTATTTCTTTCTGTATGAGGAAGAATTTGATCCATTTTTCAGGGAGGAAACCCCTGTAACTCATCTTTACTTTGGTCGTGCAGTTAGCAAATCAATGCTTGGCCGTATTGGAATGAACTGCCCGAGGCTGATTGAACTGGTTGTGTGCGCTAATGGCCTTCAACCTCTGGATGATGAATTAATTTGCATTGCTGAACGCTGTAAGAATCTAACTGCCATGGGACTTGGTGAATGTGAAGTGACCTGTCGAGGCTTCATTGAATTTGTAAAGATGTGTGGAGGCCGGCTCACCCAGCTATCTGTCATGGAGGAAGTGCTTATTCCAGACAGTGATTACAATCTGGATCAAATTCATTCTGAAGTTTCCAAGCACCTGGGAAGAATGTGGTTCCCTGATATGATGCCAACGTGGTAACAGTTCATAGGACAAAAGGCCAGAATGGCCAGAACTGGCTGTAATGGGTATTGCTGTCTATGCAAACAAGGAATTGTAAATATGATGCTGAATGATGTTCCCCAATTAATTGCATAGTGGCATCGGTGTGCCACATTAAAAATGGAGTAAAATGTACTTAATCTACAAATTGGAAGTATATTTATTAAGTAATACGTGCCTAGTTTAACCTCCAGTTAATAGGAACTTTTTTTTAAATGATACATGTTTAATTGTTAAGCACTTGGTTTAGTACAGAGTACTACAGTATTAGTATTTCTGATGTGGCTAAACAGTTTGGCCTTCGTAATCTTTGCTTAATGGTTGTCTGAAACGTTCAGTTAAGTGCTGCTTCTCCTGTTCCTTTACCATGTTTTAAAATTAATCTACAGTCTTGTAAACAACAGCTTATGATATGAAACTTGAAGCCTGAATGTATTACTTTTGTGGGAAACGCGTTTATGTTACAATAGGACAACTATGTAAATGCACTAATACTGTTCTTCATTAACAGGTTGAAGAGTTGTTCTTAGTTGTACTGTGGTACCTGTAAGAAAGAACTGGTCAATATATACACTACAGTTCATGGTGATTCTAATTACTGTCAGTGACTAGAGGTACTGCAGATATCAGCCATAGTATTTTATATCCAGCTGCCTTGGAGGATGCATTATCCTTACCAGCCACTGCCTATAAGCCAGTGTGAAATAGACAGATTGCATTGGGGAGAGCAGTAAGATTGCTTGCTCCAGAAACTTTTCCTGACTTGGCTACATGCCGCATCTCTAACTAGTTGATATTTTCCCTGCCAAACCACCCTCAATAGAGTATCCTTATCAATTCCTGTGATGGAAGTAGAATTGAGAAGGTAAAGGCATTTATTGTATAGTGTTAATGTTCCCTAAAAATCATGCCTCTACTGTATAACATCTCTTAACTTTTTAAATCAAAAAGATACTAATTTTGTAAATTTATAAGGAGACTCCCTATTTCATCTTTGTAATATTTTGGCTGGATACAATGCTTGTTTCCTTAAGCTGGGTTTCTTGGCACTCAGACAGCTATAATTAATGTGAAAATGGTTCTCTTTTCACCAATACATTTGTGATAGTGTTAAGTAACTTATTCTTGTTGCAGGCACTTTTTGAATAATGTCTATAGTCTTGCTTTACAATTCAGATATTGAAACCAGCTTTAAAAATGTGGGAGCCAGATTTGTTTGTAGTCTTTGTTTTTTTGCTCTATAAAGGATGAGTGCTTCTGAGCTGATTCATTCTTTTCTTCTTCCTAGGAGTGAAGCGTACATTTGTAACTCCGTAACACAGGACCACAAAGCTGTTCCCCCCTCACCTTGGCTCTAGTACAGTTCATGTAGTTATCTCAGCAGTGCTGCAGAGTTTGGGCTAGTATGGGTATAGTCTTAACTCTCACTGTTCCAAATAATTTGTAGAAATCTGAAACAAATATCCCTGTTTCCCAAAATCCTCTCTCTAGGAAGGATTCGGCATGTTTGTCCACATTGCAATAGAGTCTGTTCTGTCCTAGAGCCTACTCAAGATGTGTTATGTGTCAGGATCAGTTTACAATTCTAGCTGAATCAGGAGGTAAAGTTTGTCTTGGATTGTATCATTTAAAATTGCAGGTGTGAGGTTTTGTTTGAATAGTCTTGTATGTTGAAAACTGCCATGCATGAGAAAAATGGGGAGGATTCAGTCTAGACTTCATGGGGATGTCGTCTTTCTATAAACATTAACTTTGCTTGGATGGGGAAAGCATATAAACCTGCAAACGCCCCTCCTGATTACCTGCCTTAAAAATCTGCTGGGTTGATTAGCTAGCGGTTAGAATATACCTCTCATAAGTCACAGTTGAAACAGTACTGCAAGTGATTGCAGTTTAGCATAAAAATCAAGAATTGTTTGAAAAGAAACACTGTTCTAACACAAAAGACCCTGCAGTTAATAGTATCCCACCACGTGAACAGTAAATTTGAAACAGCAGTGCTTTTGAGGTTAAAGTGACACCCTCCACACCTTTGATCAGAATATGGAATATAGCTGATGGCATATCAAAACTGTGTTATAAGCTTTCCACTGAGAGTTAGGGTTTTTTTTTTTCCTTCTCTTGCATTTGTAAACACTATCTGATTTGATTGTAAAACAAACCTTGGCTTAACAGCAGATAAATGTCAAGGTGACATAAAAATTGATTGTAAGCTGCAAAGATCTTAGTTTGTATGGCAGTAAGTTACATTGCTGGAACGGAGAGTGGGCCCAAAGTTAAAACAAATCCAGTTTTGAACCTTTACAGTATGGAAGAGTTAATTAACTGCTGTTGTGAAAACAATAAAGACAAACTTGGGTAACTGAAGCTTGCTGCCTGTGGTATAATGAACCCCATTGCACTTCTAGGGACAATGTTCTGTCGATTCTGCAGTGGCATATAAGTACAATTTTATCATGTATTGGGGTCACTATAGCCCCATACTAGGTTTGCCATTTTCCCATTCTGTTTCCCAGTATTGCTTCTCCACTCCTGTGGTCAGCTTGCTACCCAGTCACTTTTTACCAAACTCTCAAGCCCCAGTTCTTGGCGTCTGTGTGAAAACATACTTCAGCTTTAGCTGACACTAGACTCTGAATTCTTAGATGGAATTTTTTCTCAGGTAATGTTTAACACAGCTAAGACCAGGAGTCTCTTCCTTTATTCAAAAGGCGAAACAGTCTGACAGACTTTTTAGACTCTTCAGATATCCACTCCTTTAGCTGAATTTTCACATTACTAAATAGCAACTGCCACTGAACTCAAAACGAACTCCTCCTCCCCCTCAGCACACAGCTGATCTTGTATTTCCCTCAGCTGGTGCTGGCCAGTCTCCTCCCCCAGCCTTTTGCTAGTTGCCAGGCCACCTGGATGTATAGTGCTTGGAAATCCCCAGGTGCCGCATGGAGGTTGGCAATACTAAGAGGAGGTCCAGGTTTGTTGAAGGACTTCAGTGAGGTATAATGCCATAGAGCTCACCCTCCAAAGTGGCCATTTTTTTCATGGGGACTGATCTCTGTAGGCTGGAGATCAATTGTAATTCAGAGAGATGTCTAGGCCTTCCCTTTTCCCCCAACCCCTTTCAGTTCCAAAGCTGCTTCCTGTTGAATGCTTTAGCTGATTAACAGTTTAACTGACTCCCCAATAATGCCCCACAGTCTCTTGGGACTCCCAATTTGGAAGTTGTAGTTCTAATTCCCTTTACTATGGTTGCAGTAAGGCCAGCTGAGAACTACAACTCCCAAGGTGCAGCATGTCAAAAGTGGGTGTCTAGAAATGGAGGAGCCAGCAGGATGGGTCAATAGGACACAAAGGCAGCTTCCCCAGTGGCCAATGGGAGAGTAGGTGAGTCATCGCCAGCATGGCTTGCCTTTTTTATATTATATATATATAGGATGTGAAGTACAGGATCGCTAAAAGTTACTTTAATCTTTACGTCATCATCCTGGGAGGAGCTGTGGCTCAGTAGCAGAGCATCTGCTATGCATGTAGAAGGTACCAGGTTCAATCCCTCTCACCACAAGGAAGGATCAGATCATAAATTATGTAATCATAAATTATGTGAAAGACCTCCCCCAAGACCCTGGGGAGCCACTGCCAGTCTGAGTAGACAATACTGACTTTGATGGACCAAGGGTCTGGTTCAGTGTAAGGCAGCTTTATGTGTTCACCAGTAGATTAAAAATTTATACATGCCATGAAAAAATTACCCTTTTGTTAAGTGTATATATACTAGTTTAGAGATGTTAGCTGGAAAGTAAAGAAAAACAGCTCCAGGTTGCAGTGTATCAGACTTCTCACCAGTCACTGTCCAAGAAATAAGCATGTGGCAAAGATGTTATTCAGAGATACCTGATGTTAGTGTTGCCAGAAGTGCTACTGTTCTCCATGCATTTTTTTTTTTTTGCCAGTATGTGCTAACCAGCAAGAAGGCCTGTTGCGGAAAGAAATGAAATGGCCTCTAGACAGAGGGTTTGGGAGAGCGCCTTGCCTGCAGTCGCTGTGCACAGCCTCCCTGCAAATAGTTATATGAAAGGCGGGGGGAGACAGGCTGGTGGCATGGCGCCGAAGGAGAGGGCCCACGCCAGCCGTCCCTCCCGGAGGCCTCTCTGTGGCTCCAGAAGCCAGCTTGGGGGGGGGGGGGAAGATAGATTGGCGGGTGAGGGGCAGCGCGCTGCTGAAGAAGAGGCCCAATGCCACCTGGCCCTCCAAGAGGCCTCCCAACGAGTTCAGGAAGCATCCCATTGTGGGACGAAACACAACGAGCTGTAGACGGATGCCGGCGCCCCGCCTCCTCCTCGTCCCCTGACCTCTCGGTGAAGGAGACCAGCGAGTGAGGGAGTCCTGTAGGGGCCAGCGATGCAAGCAAGCAGCCGTGGCACTGCCATGATCCATTCTCGGGCCCGCAGGGAGAGAAGATGCTGGAGCGGCAGCGAGCGAGGCACAATGAGGGTGATCTGCTGGGCGCGGGTTCTGTGGGTGGGACCACAGGAATGCCGTCAGCCATGCAGGCAAAGGAGAGAGCCCCGAGAGAGCCCCCTGGTGAGTGACACATCAGGGAGTGAACTGATTCGGGAGCGTGTCGAGAGTTCACAACCAAAACAGAATTATATATAAGGAGAGATATGAGGAGAGGTATAGAGTACCCCCCGCTAATCCTAAATTACATATCAAAACACAGTTCTTCATTTGGTACACACAAATCCTATTAATTATAGTGGGAACAGATTCTAGACTAGCTACAGGCTTGAATTCTATGGTTATTTTGTAGTAAGCCCCATTGAAATTAATGGAAGTTACTTGGAACACACAAAATACAGTGTGTGTAGCCAGCCCAGATTGGTGGCTGTGATTCTAGCCTGTATTATAGTATTCTTCTACAAAAGGGGAGTGCTGAGCATCTTACTTTAGCATAAAATTTTCACCTGAGCCTTTGGCATCAAACCAGTCTTTTTATGACATGCAAAATTTTTTTTGAACCAAAGTGTTATTCCATCTGCACATGTGCAAACCTTAAAGGTAAGCATTAAATGAAGCCCTAGTAAACACTTTATTTAAAAAGATGAGACAACATCCCATTTTCTTTAATAGGGGAAGCTGAGTGCACATTTTCCTTGAGGGTTTTGTTTGTATCCATTTATGTATGAATCAGCGTCGATCTGAAAAACAGACAAAAATGACAAAGTGAGATGAACCTATTTCATTTGTTTAGAATAAATCCATACCAAACAAACATGTAGAAAGGTACTATGGTAATTGATTTTATACTACAAACTGAGATACTTATAAACTTTTAAAAATAGACTTCATGGGTGATTGGAAGAGCAGCTACGGATGTGCAGAGAACCTGTACGTTGAGATAAAGAGGCATTGTTGCTTGTCCAAAGCCAAATCCTGGTGAATTAGAATTATTAATTACAGAATAACAACTGTCTGTATTGCTCTGTATCACAGAGATGAAGGCAAACAGAACTGATAACTCCACAAAAAACCCAGAACTTAAACAGAACTGAAAACTTCACATTCCTTCAGCAGTTCTCCAAGTTTTCAACTCAAGCCGTTTGTATATAGCAGATTACATTGTAGAGCCATAAGTTTTAGAATACTTAAAAAAAACCCAAGTGCAGTCATTTCTGCAAGAAATATAACTTCTCTGTTACAAAGTTCTGTCTGGCTTGAATATTGTTGTGAATATGTACGGGGGGGGGTCCCCAGTGTGGTGCCTGCAGGCACTAGGGTTCCCAAGTCCAAAATACTCACCGGCGGGGGAGCCCTGGTCTGCTCTGGGAGCTGTCCCCGGATGCGCACGCGCGCACCGCCAGCACGTCGCACAAAGTGACGTGCAACGTCGACCACATTGAGGGCGTGGTTACGATTGTCGGAGGGAAAACCATAGAGTTTTCCCTCCGACGATCCGGGCCACGCCCCCAACGTGGTCGACATGCACGTCACTTCCTGTGACGCTGCGCTTCGGGGGGCAGAGTTCCCCCTGGGGCCCGATTCCGCAGCGGCGGAAATCGGGCCTCCAAAGGGGGGGTTACCCGCCCCCACTTGGCAGTCCTAGCAGGCACCATGGTGCCCACCAGCCCCTTTTGTGGTGCCAGCCAGGTGCTTTTAGAAAGTAGGTGGGACCAGATGGGTCTTTTGCTCAGTAGGACTTCTGGTTGCTGGGCAAATTTAAAAAACCCCACATTGCTTTCGCAAGAGCTGCCAACACAGCATAAGAATCTTCATTGTGTGATGGAAGGTCAGCTGTGTGTATGTGAGAAAACATGTTCATTTTAAAAGGCATCCTGTCAAGCAAATGTTTTAAGATATAATATTGCCGTTGTATGTAACCCCACTCCCTTACATCTTGTGGCTGTCTCTGCCTCCAGTGGCAACAATTTTGTGGTTGCACCCACCACCCTGTGTCAGAATTCTGAAGGTGCCCAAAGACTTTAAAAGGTTGGGGACCCCGATGAATAGTATAGAAACAAAGAACTTGGAAACCATGCCTTTCAGCTCGTAAGCCTAGCAGTCCAAAAAACAGAACCCACACCCTTCTGTGCATGTTTTGAAGTATTTCGGAAGACATGCTCAGAATTATCACATTATTGAACTGGAGTTCTTCTGTCCATTGCACAATTCAACAATGCTTGGCTGAATGCAGGAAAAACAAAAGTGATGGTAGTCACCAATATTTAGCCACTGCTGAAAACCTGAGCTAGATCTGTTTTTCCATTGTCTAGTATAAAGAATGTGCATGGTAAAGAGCTAGAGTGTGAGCTGGGTATCTGCTGTAAAAAATATTTTGAATATTTGTTCATAGTTTCACAATAGGAGGCACAGGTGGGACAGGAAAGCATATCCTTGATTTTCATAGATGTTTCGGGCTCTGGCTGGACGCTCCAGCTTTGCAGAAATCCCAAGGGAATTATATGCAAGATCTAGGTTTGCTTACGAGAGTTTAATAAGCAATGATAAAGCTTATGGAAATAGCAGGCTAAGCTCCCATCCGCTGGGCCTCAAACACACACTGTGAAACTTAGCCAGACCTCGAGACAAGATGCATAGCTAAAAAACTAAACATTTTATATCCTAATTACTGGCTACAATAAAAAAAATCATTAAGCTATCCCAAACACTAAGATGAGCCAGGCCATCTCGCACCTGCCACCTTGGAAAATAAGAGCTACTAACAAGCATGAGAAAGAAGAGTATTCTCTTGGGAGTGGCCTGATGGCCAATCCCCTTACAAAACCCAAGGCAGCTCAAGGTCAAGTACCAGCCTGTAACAAAGATGGTGTTG